TGGTGTGATCAAGCTGTCAACTATTCTCCGGCATGTCTGGACTAGCTCTCTTCCATTCATTACTAACTCCAAAGACGAGGATCATCACGTTGCGGCTGTCCAGTGTTTGGTGCGAAGTGCCAGTCTTATAATAAGCATACTTCACCTTGACAAACCTTTTGAATTTTGCAGACATCGAGTGACGCCCTTCGAGCTTTCCGTTTTTTCGAGCGCTTATGTATGTGGCTTCGTTTTTGCTTTACAAACTCTTAGGTTCTCCGCTCCAGTGTCACTCCGTCTTCTTTATGCAGTTCTACCAGCGTTCCACTCAGTATTTCTTTTTACACCGTAAGACGGTTGGTACTACAAGTTTGAAGGAGAGAACCAACAACATCCATATTCAGTAGCGGTCAGAAGTTCGGGAAGTTTTTTGTTTCTGACTGGAGCATTCGATAGACGACGAGATTGTCCCGAGTTCACACATTATATAAAAGATCAAGCAAAGAATACGATGTGCTACACCACTTCTAAAATCGAAAATAGCAATTGAAGCGATTTTTTTATAAAAAGTGTCACGTCAGAATATTGGAAATTCCTCAACATCAAGGTGAAATAAGAACAATAGCCCTTAAGCAACATGAAGAATTAACACTTTTCTGAGTAGCTATGAAGTACTATACATTTTATTTCGGTTTTATTGATATTGAACTGCTTTAACATCATTCAATCGGACTTTTAAGTGAAGCCTACGTTCTGTGGTCTGAATCGAATTGTTTAGTATGATTCTTTACTGGATATGTATTGTGCGACATGCCAGTTCATGTTCAGTGCAGAACTCAGTCAGGCTCTAGATATGACTTGTTCTCTTCACAGCAGCCTTTTCTGGGTTTAGGAAGGCGGTCATGAGGAGGTAGGCCTGCATCGGATCAATGTTGTAATAGAAACCCATCTTTTCCGGCTAGTTCTGACTATCGAAGAGAAGCATTGTATTCTACAGACTATCTTGTACTTAGCCCAACCCACATTTCGCTGGATACTAAGAACTGGGGAATCGCCGAATGGTCGGACACATCGTCACCCATGACCATACTTCCACCCTTTCTGACTCGGAGTTTAATACCTGAAATGAGGTTCTCCATTTGACAGAACACTTGATTGACAGGGCTCACAACACCATTTTCAAGATGACAGAAATACCAGTTGTCGATGAGCACAATTTTTTACCTCTCGCCTTCGGTCCATGTTAGCCGTTAGTGTGCGGAAGCCAGTTGGGCCATCCTGCTCTTGAAGCCCAACAATGGCTTATTGTTGGGACATCTTCCATAATATTCGCTAGTTCCCTCCGATGTTGACCTGCACTTGGACTTCCAGTTCACCCCGAAAATACGAAAAGTTTTTTGGTTGGGGATGCCGGTTGGATGGTACATGCCGAAGGCTCTTCAAAGTTTTTTTTGTTAACTGCTGTTTTTGGCCTGCAGCTCGCCTTGCGAATGTTTCACAAGAATGTCGGGTTGTGAACAAAACTTTCGCCCCAGGCGGGACTAGAACCCAGGAAAGCGCGCTACCAGTTACGCTACCGGGGCACCATTTCATTCCAACTCAGCTTCTCATGGTAACTGGCAGTGCACTTGCCCGGAAAGCGAGAGGTGCGGGTTCTAGTCCCGCCTGGGGCGAAAGTTTTGTTCACAACCCAGCATTCTTGTGCTCTTCAAAGTCCTTAAAAAGGCAAATCCTTTTGTGAGGATG